GTGAGGACGGGAGGAGAGAGCAGCTTGCGTTGCAGCGTACGAAAAGCGTCGAGTTGGACCTCATCTAATTGGAACTTTGGCGCAGCATCCTTTCTTGTCAGATTACTGAGCGGCCTGGCGATGCGCCCATATCCCTTAATGAACATTCGATAGAAATTGCAGAACCCAAGAAACGACTGCACGCCTCTTTTTGTTGTAGGAGGTTCCTAGTCACGAATAACCTTAGTCTTGCTTGGGTCAACCTCTACGCCGTGGTCTGTAATAACATATCCTAAGAATGTGGTGCGAGTGACTTCGAACTCGCATTTCTTGATATCTATATACAGACCTGCTTTGCGCAGCCTTATCACGATCTAGCGTACGTGCTGTTGATGCTCTTTCTTGTTCTTCAAGAAGATTAGGATGTCGTCAATGTACGCTGTACAGAAGACGCTGAGGTAGTCTATAAGGACGGAGTTAATATAACGCTGAAAGGTAGCCGGACTGTTGCAAAGACCAAAGGAAAGGACTACTGGCTCGAAAGCTCCGTAGGTCGTTCGGAATGACGCCTAATGGATTAAGTCGGGGTCCATTCTAATACGATTGAATGCGTGACAGATATCAAGCTTCGTAAAGATTGTCGCGTGAGCTAACTGTGACAGGGTCTCGGAGATCAGAGGCAAAGGATATCTATCTTTCTTCGTAAGTATATATAAAAGACATCGAGGAGGCAGGCGCCCGACGCGTAGACGCCTGATGACGGGTCACCTGCTCCGTTAGGTCAGCAATTTTCTCTTGCAGGGCCATATTCCGTTCTTGCAGGGCTGCATTTTGTTTCTCTAACTCTTGGCCGGCAGCAGCAAGCTGCGTGGCGTACTCCGAGATTTGATGAGCCAAATCAGCGTTAGTATTTGCTGTCCTCGCTAACTCTAGAGCGACCCTCTCGGCCGTCCGGTCGGCTAAAGCTTGTTCTGACACTCCCTGCTGCCGCAGCTCAGTTAGGATAACATCGATACCGGATTGCAGATTGGCTGGCACGATCACTTTCAGCTGGGCTACTCTGGCAAAAGGATCAGAGAGGTCGAAGGATAGGATAGGGTTTCGATAATCAGTCTCAGCATTAGGGGTGGGGTTGTCGGTCCTGGCCGGACTGGATAGGTCAAAGACAGCCGTATCGAACTAGGCAGCTGCCTCTGCGTTCTCGCGTGTTAGTGACTGGTCGCTAGTAGGTGTCACCATTGTCAATGCGTGGCTCGGCTCTAATGGAGTGTCGCGTAAGTCGGGGGAGAAATGCGACAGGACCATACAGAATCTAAGGTCCCCGTTCTTCTTCTTGACGAATAAAACGGGTGACGAGAAAGAGGAAGATGACGGGCGAATGAATCCCTTACGTAAGTTCTCTATCAGGTACTCTCTCATAGCTTCGAGCTCTCGAGTTGACATCTTGTACAAATGCGACGCCTTCATCTCTGGTTCCTTGTCAAAGCGCAGCTTGTGGTCGAACGGACGGTGCGGAGGCAGAGTATCTGCAGCTACTCTCGAGAAGGCGGCTGCTTGGTCGCGGAGATACGGAGGAAGATGGCTGAGGATGGACTCAAGATCGTCAGAACGAGGTCTAAGGTCCCCGGCGCCCTAGCGCTAGCGGGCGACAAGCATGGCAGCCGTGACAGGAGCTATAGCCTGTTAAGAAGAAGTATATACGTAAAATCTAGGTACCAAAAAAAGAGCGAATAATATATCACTATACAGATAAGTATATAAATCTTAGTTATACCTTAAGCTCTTAATCAGAGAGCTATTATTTAGTTCTTTATATAATAACTAATAGTTAGCTATCCCTTAAATAATCTGTCAAACGGCTTATTAATATAGTTATCTCTATTCTTAAAACGCTTAATTTAAATGAAGATTCATCTAAACATAACTGCCCACGTCAGTTATAATGTGATAAAGCTGCATTTTGATTTCTATTTAACGAAATTAGTCTATTTGCCCTTAATAAGCTTGCTAACAAGTAAGAGTTAGTTAAGAATATAGCTGCTAATTAAGAGGCTCTAGATAATAAATAGTGTTAGTATTAGTTACTTCTTTAATAGTATTTACCCTGCAAACATTATTTATTCTCTATTATTAAGAGTAGTTAGCCTATCCTTAAGTCATTAATACACCCTTAATAGTGAATTAATAGCCTTATTATTTGATTTAGTGACTAGATACTAACAAATCAAGAGGCTAATAATACAGAGATATAAGAGACTAACTATTTATCTCTACAACGTCGCTAACACATCTCTGTAAGGCAGCATCTCCTTGTACTTAGAGACGCTCTATCTAGTACAGATCAAGCCTATATTGATGACGAAATAGCTCAAAATGATAGGAGGATATTAGGTCTTGCGCAGGCTGCGTATGAGGGTCGTGGGGTCCCTGTGGCCTACCCTTTACCTGTACCAAAGCAGAAATGGGTACGTAAAGCGGCTCATGGCAAGGCTAACGCTAGAGGGCTCACAGGGGCTGAAATAGCTGCTAGAGAGCTCAACGCTCGTGAGCGTGAGCAGAGACTGCGAGAGAGAGACCAACTTGCTATTAATATGACTCGGAGCGCTTCTACTCAAGTGCAGATGCCCCAGTTTGGTCCTAGAGACGTTGCTGATATAGCAGGGCAACAGGATGAGATTCTCATCAGAGCAACGCCGCCGCCGCCGCCTCCGGAGGAGTCAGTTACCAGGGCAACGCCGCTACCGTTCGAGGATAGCTTGTCTACGCCCCAGCAGGAGGAGGAGGAGGAGGAGGAGGAGGATCCATTCGTTCTACCTGCCTCCACAGCTCCTGCCCTGTTACAGACGAATGCACGGCCAAAACGGGCTAGAGGACCTACCCTGGACTATAAGGCTATGCACGAGGGCAAGCAGAATCAGCCGAAACGAGGCAAATAGGCCCAAATACTAGATGCAACGCCATAGAATGTATAGAGAGTCTCAAATAGGCAATAGGTTTCATAACAACTTTGGTTGAACAGCACTCTGATAAATACTTCATAGAGTCATATGGGGGGGTTTGAGTGATAAATTCCCCGCCAAATTTTGGTGGCGTTTATATTGCCAAGCCCCAAAACGCCGACACGCCGAATCCGCAGAAATCGAATCTGGCTGTCGAATCTGGCTGCCCCGAGACAACCCCTTAGTTGTCTCCATAAGCTGCTTCAAAATGTGAAGAGAGGACAGCCCACGAACTCCGCCATTATCCAAAGAAAGTAAACATAGATCTCCGGGCATTTTAAAGAGGCTCGAAAAACCTTTGAATTTGTTGGCTATCAGTAGCAGTAATGTAGTAGAGATTGTCAGAGGTTATTGATTTTGTCGATACCAGTTCATTCAGAGCAAGAGCTGTGTAAATAAGACGAGAGTCATGGTCCAGTTTGAATTCGATACGCACTAGTGTTTAGACAGGGTACACACACCCCGAAGACCTGTACTCCGTAGCCAGAGTCTGATGGGCCATGAAGCATGCTTTCTATTGGTTTGCGTGTTCTGTACGGCCTAGCCCAGACTATTTACTAGTTAGTACGTTAGTAGCGCAAGGACAGTCTTGGCGTGCCACCCTACCAATTCCTTCTCTTGTGTCAACGGTACTGCATAGCTGTTGACCTTCTGAGAGGGCCAATTGGCCGCGTTTGATATGCGTAATCCCTGCGTTTCTGCTGCTTCTAATTGGTCAATTTCCAACGCAATTTCGCTTCTAATTTCGCTGTACGGTACAGCCAATTGTATATAGATCGACGCTCTCTACCCCCGTAGCTATCAATCAACTTGCTTCTCTACGCACTCTGCACAGCAGGTTGACAATAGCTAACTAGTTAGTTACACGTACAGACAGACAACAAAGTTGTTCAGATCAACACTTTCCGCAATGAGGAAATGCGTCTAGACTGAGCAGTGCCCTCTGCTCACAAGTGGACGATAGATTTTCCCAGGATAATTTGATACATATCTTGATCTAAAATGTATCCAGGGAGTGGATCCTTCTGTTACAAGGATGGAAAGATATTTATCCGGGGAGCGAATCCTCCTGTCACAAGTATGCTTCAGAACAAACTGACCCCGGTGGCTGCATATCTGCATGCGAAAGACCATACCGGTGATAATAACAGTAGTCTTTCGCAGCTTCTTGAGACGTTTCACTGCTAGATATCCCAGCCAGAGCTTCAAGCGGTAGATGATGATAATATCAAGTAGGGGCTTGATACATGAGTCCACTGCACTCGGGCTAGTCTCACCACATCCTATGTTGGCTCGCCTTCGGTTCACCCAGCTCCTGGTACTGAACCGCGTCCTCCATTCCATATTCACTATCCTACGTTTGAGCAGGGGGTTATTGACATGCCTGATTAGATCACAGAATACAGACTTACATAATGGGGGCTCCGAGGAAGCCACACTGAAACCCGGGAGCAGGAGATATCCACCATGAGCTGAGGCATCGTTTCTCTATTACTGGGCAGTCTAGCATGATAAACATCGTGGAAGACAACCAAGGTGGAGCGGGCGTCATTAGGGAGAGCTTCCCTGCCAGGAGCCTATCATGTTCGTGCATTGATCGACTGTTAGATCAGTGCGTCTCCTATGACACCATCCTAAACATCTGCAGGGGACGCCTGGCTGTGAAGAAGTATATTACAAACAGCCCCCCATCTATTCCCTTCATGCCTACAGTATTCCTCGCAAAGGTCCCCCTTCCCGTACAGTCAGTGGTGTGGCTGATATACCGCTCGTGACAAACCCCCCAAAGAATGCTGTTAGAGAGACCGAAGATGACATGATCGGCCCAACATACAGAAGAATTGTGACCGCTTGTGAGATGCATTCGAAGACCAAACAGGAGGATATATGTCCGTTCTACCGGGTGAAGACTTTCACCACACCATCCCCACCGGCGCTGACTACCCATCTGCCATCCTGGCTCCAGACGACGGAGCAGACCCCTTCTCCACGCATCAGCCGATGACTGGTAATTTCTTGAGTACAACTCCTTTTTTCGAGGGACCAGAATCGAAGACTGGCATCATGACCAGCTGACACAAGTTCACGGCCATCTGGAGAAAGAGACAGAGACGAGATTGCTGAAGGGTGCGCTAGCATTGTGTACGTGCATTGTCCTGGTACGAGTTAGTAACTTAGACCAGTGAAAAGGAAGCGGTAGTGTAGACATACCGCTGTTGGCATCGAAGAATCGGATGTAACGATCCTCGTATCCGGAGATGATCACACCCTCTACACCGCCTCTTGAACCAGTTGCGCCATGTACGATACTATCTTCCTCGGAAAGTCCTCGACTAGGATCGAGACTCAGGGTCCCATCGAAACCCATTGTGCTGGCAACCACCGAGTTCACGCCTGTCGAAGGCGTACCATCATAAGTCTCTAAGCTGGCCATTCCTACAACCTCCTCACCAGAGCGTGTGTCAAATACCAAGATTGAGGCGTCTGTGTATGAGACAACAAAAGTCTCGCCCAGAGCCGAAAGCGGACTAATACAGGTCGGAGAAGGAGAATCGCCTCGTACAATATGATGCACGAGGCTATAATGAAAAGGTGTAGATGTTGCTGTGCTTGGTTGTGGCGAAGAAGGGAAATTCGAGCCCGCCGAAACGGAATTTGCTCTTCGGCTGCTCCTGGTGCCTCGATTGGAGCCAGAGTGCGGTGACGAGAGTTGTGGCGGAGCACTTACGGCCCAGATCAGAATGCTTCCGTCTGCGCCCCCCGAGGCGAGTAGTATTCGGTCCGGGCCGCCAAAGGAGCTGCTTCGATCGCCCAGGGTGGAGCCACACGAGCCTGGGAGCACGCAAAGAGCCCAAACGGCATCGGTGTGGCCGTCCAGCGTAGCCTTCGGATCGACCCTGCCTCGTTCCCACACCTTGACACTGGCATCTTGCCCCCCGGAAAATATCCAACCGTCCCCCAGAACTCGACCTCCGTTGGAGAAGTTCGGAGACGCGGGACATGAAGCCAGCGCGGTGACTGCTCCACCATGCCCCCGATGTGTAAAATAGCTTGTGATGTCGAGGTCGTTTCCTGATGCAGCGGATTGGGAACCATAGCTTGATGCAGGAATGATCCAGCGCTTAATGCTTCCATCGTCCCCAGCGGTACATATCTCAGGCTCCGATGGACTGCCACCGCCAGTGAAAATGACGGAGCGTACCACATCAAGATGGCCTCTTAAAGCAAAGCGAACCTTAAATGTCGTGGTGTCGGCTTTCTGGTCCACAGACAGCTGGCGTGCTTCATTGTTGCCTTCACTTCTCCGTCTCGCTGCTCCTGAGCTCTTTCTCCGATGTGATCCAAGCCGAGGTGGGGATTTGGGTGCAGCAAGATTGGCGCTTGGGAAAGCATCTGTGTCGGGACGGTGAGGAGGGGGAATGTCTGATGGAGGAGGATCCGGGTATGTGGGCGGATCATCATCAAAATTCCAGCCATCTGATGATTCGTTTCGTGATTCCTCCGTTGTTCTAGGAACTTCATGCTCTTCTGCAGTCGGTATCTGCTTTCCGTAAGCATCGTAGCTGTGCGATACCGGCTCGGCAGGCTCTTCAATCGGTGCCTGCTGCTCGAACAGAGGATTTCGTCCGTCGATTGCGGTCAATGGAGTAGGAGCCTGTTCCTGAGTTCTTCGTTCTGCCGGCTCACGGAGAGGCAACACAGTATGATTGATCTGAGTATTTGACCTGCCCGAGCTTACATTTTCTTTAAACGAAGGTAGAAGTGGCTGCTGATTACTGATTGCACTCTCTCGTACGCCTACTTGGTTATTCCTGTGGTGCTGCTTTGGGTGTGGTTGTTGCTGTTGTTGTTGTGGATGTTGCGGCTGAGGCTGATGGACATAGGGATCCTGCAACACAGATTGAGGCGGTTGTTGGTCTCGAAGGACATGGTTGGAGAGGTCTTGTTCCGTCAACTCGGGAGGTGGGTGAGTTGCTGGCATGACATGGTATGTGATCTCGGCAGAGCACTTCGCTAGATAGGTCTTCGATTTTTCCCTCTCCGCATCTTGCCGGAGTCCTTGATAAAGCGGGTCGTCTTCGACTATGTCAGGGTCCAGGAGACGTACCCCTTTCAGCGGTGGTTCTGTAATGATTCAGTAGTTGATCCAAGGTTGGGAAGACCAACAGACCCTTGCCCATCGCTTTCAGCTCTTCTCTAGCAACATCCTTTGGATCTCGCTGGATGTCAATCTTCTCCCCTTTGCTCAGGTTTTTGACCCTTTCTCGTTCCTTCGTTAAAGCAATTTCCAATATCTTGACATGTTTTCCTAAGGAGTCATGTAGTCGTTTCGCTGTTCGAGCCTCGCCTTCCAGCCGAGCTATTCTTGATTTCATCTCCGCCCTCTCAATTTCCCAGGCGTTCCGATCTCGTTCATGGCGATGCCACTCGGTCTGGAGAAAGCGCATTACACCTAGAGTAACATAAGCTTGGTAGATGGAGACTTGTTGAAGCTGCGCGCACCCTGTAGAGTGTACTCGGTTCCCAAAGGAGCATGGTTGCCGTTTGCAGACGATTCACCACCTCCTCCCATTCCACTCCCGGCCATGGCAGAGCCTGACTGCCAGGCCATGCAAGGGAGGATTCAGTCCAATGTGTAGGCAGCCCTATCTTCTTCCCATGTGACCTCGATTTGCAGAGTAGTCTGCCCTAAAGATTGCGAGCGAGATTTCAGGGGATCAATGAGAGGGTACCAAACGCCAGCGACCGCACGTTTGGACGGCGAACGAGAGACTAGGCACAAAGCTTGTCTAGGGCCAGCGAAGATGAGATATATCGATCAAATGGTTGAGATACAGTTTGTCGCAGCTGCAAAGCTTCAAGGTCAAAGGACATATGTTAACGCCAGTACCAAAGTTTAGCGCGAGCCGGGGAAGAGGATCAAAGGACCACGGTTCGGGGTCATTCATTATACGTGAGCTTGCTTCCATAATTCAACACCTTCAACCGTCTGAGCTGACACTTCACAGACTTGACGATGCTTATGTCTTTGTGGGGCATACTGAGTTCTAGTTCACATATCGGCAGACCCATAGATTATAGATCGGTGCCTTCGACCACAGTACATAGTCACGTTGGATACTCGGGCAAACAGTGCTCGTTGGTACTAGAACTGCAGCTCCTCCACATCCATTCCACATCCTATACACGTCTTGACCGAAACACCTGTCTTGGGATTTTCAATTGGTCGTGACCATTCATGCACATGCTTGCCGCCCGGGAGATCATCACCGAAATTGCCTCCACTCCCTCCCCGTCGACTCCTTCGCCATGCTTCAACCCTGGTCCTCTTCTTCAGATCTTCAAGCTTCGACTTGAACTTGCTTTCTTTACGCTTCTTCTTCTCGGTCTCCCGCCTGGTAAACTCCTCGTCCAGTGCCTCTGGAGAACCCCATTTTCTCTCTGAAAAAGCGTATCCTTCCACCTGGTAGCGCAGGTACAACATCATGTTGTTCCAAGTCGACTTGTGCGGGTTCGGACGTTCCAAATGTGGTAACAGATTTTCATCTTTCAATTCCGCTGAGTCTTATCAGTCTTGGTAGATACTGGACGAGGGCAGACTACTTACGATCCGTCAATAGATAATCGTCTTTCGCTTCCGTCTTCGTAAGCAGACTGTATTTCTCCGGGCACTTGTCTTTGCAAGCATTGCACACTGCACACTTCAGAATTTCTTCCCATTTCCAATCTATCTCCAGACTACCACATTCTCGACATTGCTTGTTCTGTTCCTCGCGCTTCAATTCATTGATGCCTGGCTCAAAAGGACCCACTTTTCGAGATTGCAAGGAACGTAGTAGCCGCTGCCTTTCCCACTCCTTTAGAGTCATATCCGCTGGTTTAACGTCTCCATCCTCGCGGTGAAGTGCTTTGTTGTACGGATCGTCTTCTGCTGTAAGAAAGCCACCTTTGGTATCGGTCATCTTGCTCAAGTCATATTCAATATACTTGGCAAAATTCCTAGCTGGTTGAATGGCTTCCAACGGTCGGTCGGAGCTGGCCTGATCCTTCTTCGCATCTCTGCTTGTGGCGGGAGTCTGTGCATTGAATGTTGCAAAGGAACGCTTCTGGCCTGCGACGGTAGACTTGGATAGAGAAAGTGATGGAGGAGTAGGGTTTGCGGCCGCACGTTCTGCTTCCCGTTGTTCGCGTAATGCTTTGGCTTTGAGACGGCTAATCTCAAGTCGTCGTATCTGCTCTGGGGTGAGTGGAGATTTGGCCTCCAGTCCCGCTGGTTGAGGCGGCGGAGTGCTAGGTCTGATGGATGTCATTTTATGAGGTGGGGAATGAGGGATGTATGACGACGTTCAAGTTTGTATTTGTACAGCGAGTATGGAGACCCGAAAGATATGCGTTTAGCAGGCTGCCTGTGGAACATCTCAAGCACAGTGACGTGGGTGAGTGGCGCTTGCAGTGGTACAACGTAGTACTGTATTTACGGAGTACATACGTAGTACGCAGAATCGGTGCTGGTGCGCTGCCCCTTGGGGTTTAGCCCCGCTCGGTTTGGGGTCGCGCTGCCTCGCCATACGGAGTATTTAGCTATCCACCTTTCTGGCGTAAAATTGGCCTATTTTCTAATTGGTTACTACAGCCGCAAGCCCACCTCAACCAGGTGCCATCGACCGAAAAGTATATTTCAGAACCTAACGTCAATTCGAGTGGACGCTAGCGGTTATGTTGGCGAATTAGAAAATTGGCCAATTTTACGCCAGAAAGGTGGATAAGATGTGCGCTGCTCCTCTGTCCCTTCCATTATCTGTTCCTTCCTGTTTTCCGCTCTCCTTTCCCTTTCCCTCCTGTCTGCTGCTCGGCGCTCATGACTGTGCGTTGCTACCGGCTCCACGGGCTAAAGTGAGTCCTGCGCGCTGAGGCTTGGTCACAGCGGAAACTGGCTGTAATCTCACAAAAAATTTTCACGGGTAAGCCAGGCGCGGCAGACATTACGTGAAAGGTCGATCCAGAGTGGGTAAACGTTGCTAAAGGGCCAGGATTCGCACTGGAATCAGGAGATCCACTAAGAAGGGCCCATCAAGCCAGCAGCATCGTCAGGGAATGAGGTGCTCTAGCAGGATATTCAATGCTGGGCAGGGCCGCTGGCGATTCGTATTACGGAATCCTTGTTGTGACACGGAGCATGTTGGGCAAGGCATGTAGCTGCTGCAAACTCGGCACAGGATCAGAATCGCTCAACTATAAATACCCAGATCCTCTCTCTATCAGATCCAACAGCTCCCTCCCTCCTTCAGATTAAGCATACACATTCATCACGTCTCTTTCGGAATTTGCACATTCACTATGTAATCATTCTCTGACAGTACTTCTCAACACTCTATCTGGTGATTTCGGTTACCATTGCTCATTGGTGACCCCCCAGGAACTAGAGAGCTCCACTAACTGGAAATGTTTGGATGCTCCATCCTACTTCTGGTGGCCGCCGCGCGACAGTATCAAACACAGCAATAACACTAATCTGGTCGGCCTGAAGATGATCCAGCCAGATATCGCCATCAAGCCACTGTACGTCCTTGGACTCGTCTCCATTCACCAACGCGTTAAGGGCTTGCAGCGACCCTATAGCGGCGAAATATGCTATGGCCAGTACTAGGGCGCCGAAGAGGGCAGCTACTGGCTACCCCAACTTATTCGTCGCTGGTGCGACGAGCTGGTGAGGCCTACAAACAGCATGATGCTGCTAATGAAAGAGAAGACGAAGTGTGGGACCGGGGATACCAGGAGAACACGTCTGTCTGCAAGTGTCTGGCGAGGGAAAGAGTGGCGTCCAGATTACCCTTGAGCTGGGCTCGAGTATTGCCCGTCAGCACCTGATCCTCCCAGAATTCTTTGCTGAGTTCGTCGATGTCTATCGTGCACACTTCATGACGCAGTGGGTCTGGCCAGTGGCCGTATTCAGAAGTGCTATTGGAGCTCATGCCGGAAGAGCAGTCTGTACTCGAGCCTTCAATTGCTTTGGCTCCTTCGGTCGTATTGGCTACAGAGACCCAAAGGCCTAGAAGCACACAAAGGTTAGCGTTGCCGGACGTGGTGTTGGTCTTTTCAACTTGCCAAAGCATCCAAAACGAAGTTGGACGTCATATGTCTACTTTGTGCAAAGCTTGGTGACATAAACATTATCCAGAGCTGCATTCTTCGACACACAGCTGACCATAATGAAGACTGTTTTGTGTTAGATAGTCCAAGCCGCCCACCAAGCCGAACTATGAATTTCACTGCCCAGGATGATGGCCGCGATACATGATGCAACAGACAGACCTACAAATAGACCGCTCACGTTGCGTTTTCGGTCATTCACAGGAATGCAGGCAGCTGGATCTCCTGGCATCTTTTTAGCGGGGCTGATGCGGACAGCTTGACGATTATGTTCGAGTGGTGCGTAGTAAGACTCACCATATACAGGTTGTTCTAAGTAGTAAGCACCTGGCTTTTGAGGAACTTTCTTCAGCCATCTATGTCAGCTAAGCTTTAGGCATTTGGCCCATTAGCCGCTCTGACACCGTATAGAGACTAGCATGATACTACTGTCAAAACAACTAGCTCTAATCTATCCCCTATTAGCGTATATTGATGACTTTTGATGCACGACTCTGTACTCTGTTGTTCTTTAGCTTTGCCATCGACTGTGTTTCAACAGTAATTTAGAGTAGGTACTACGCTTATCCCTCCGCCCTAGCTATTGTGTCGTGTTTCATTTTAGATGAGAAAGAATGTGATATTTCAATCTAAGTCTGGACGCCTCCAACTTGAAGTGACACAACAAGTTCTTTGACATGACTAGCCAAGCCCTGTCACATGACACTACTTGATGCCGTACTTAGCAGGAGAAGGCCGAGGCCGGATCCAAGAAATCGTTGCCGATCCCATACAAAATCATTCCACCACTAAATAGGGGGTAAACAGGGCTATTTCAACGCGTTTTTTGAGCATTACTGCCCTAATTAGCACTCATTTCGCATCAAATTCGCAGAGACATGGCCGTTACTCGCAGTCAACGTCGTACGCCCTCACCAGCGCCAGATACCCGCGGCAAGAAGGGTAATGGGGAGTATCCTACGCCAGCCAGGGTAAGGGTATTCCAAATGCGTACAGAATTGGGATATTCAGCCAAATCCGTCGAAAAAGAGACTGGTATACCAATTCGAACCCAGGGCTATTGGCTACGAAGTCATAATGAACGCCGTACAGGCAAAAATCGACCAGGGAGACCCTCAAAAATCCCTGGAGATACTCTTGATCAAATTATTAAAGACCTAGCAGGTCATTATAGCATTCGCAAGCTTGATTATGAGACGCAAATCAAGCGCTATAACCTCAATGTTTGCGTCAATACTCTTCGAACAGCTCTGCAGCAACAAGGCCTCTGAAAATATCGTGCAGCGCAGAAGAAATGGCTCAAAATAAGCGATTGTCAACGACGAATAGCCTTCGCGAAAGAATATCTTGGTTGGCCTGCTTGGAAGTGGAAATATGTACGCTTTTCAGATGAATCGCATTTTCATCATAACTCTCGTACAGCTGCGTGGGTATTACGTCGTCGAGGAGAGAGATTTCAGCCAGATTGTATACAGAAAAAGTTCAAAACAGGTGCTAGTGAGCTACACGTTTGGGCGTGTATTGGCTGGAATTTCAAGAGCAAACTCATCTTCTATGGCCTTGATGAGAATGAGTCGCGAAATATGACCCAGGAGCTATATGTTAAGAAGATCTTGCCTGTTGTTAAGGAGTATAGGGACCAAGCTGTTGCTAAAGGGCAGGGCTTTATCTTTCAAGAGGATAATGATGGCGGCCATGGTACTCGGAGCGAGGAGAATCGAGTAAAACTATACAAAGATCAGATAGATCTCGATTATATCGACGATTGGCCAGCATTTAGCCCTGATCTCTCACCAATTGAGAATATATGGCGCATTTTGAAACAGCGTGTACGACAGCATTGCCCTCGTACAAAGGAGGATCTCAAGAGAGCAATAGAAGTCGAATGGGAGGCATTGACGCAGAAGGAGATAAATCGCGTCGTATGGGGCACTGAGAAGGGTCGCAAGTGGACTATGCACGATAGATTAGAGGCTGTTCTTCAAAATGAGGGTAGAATGACGAAATACTAGTAAAATTGTATAGATATAGCTGAATTTGACCTCGTTGGCGTTGATATAGGCCTGTTGGCGTACGAATTTGGCCGCAGAATAGTGGCCAGTTGCTTTTGTATGGGATCGGCAACGATTTCTTGGATCCGGCCTCGGGCCCTCTAAAAACTATGTCTAAATTACCATCAATGTGTGCTTAGTTTCAGCCTAACCGTGATATGATCTAGTTTACATATTATTATACAGCTAAACATCTGGAATCCAAGAAAATTATGTTATTTCGGACGTCATTTTAAGAAAATGACGCTCAGATTATGGCCAAATTATGGTCATTTGAGCCTCCTGACGATCCTTAAAATAATAAAATGTCTGCAAAATCACTAAGGACCAATACCGCGCCATTTTCAGAGCCCTTCTCCCGGTAAGTAGCCATGAGTCGTACGTAGTCGTGCTTCAAAAGTAGTTGAAGGCCCCGGCTAGTTTGGCGTTGCTAGCCTCTCTTAGCTCCGGCATTGGCTGGCCAACCAACTAATAGTACAAGGAGTAGATATCTTGCTAAGCCTAAAAGCCATTAAATAATGCTTATCTTTGTAGGCTCTTCAGGTGCTGCTTATAAGGCTTCACTTAGCTTTTAAGCCCTATCACCCCCTTATATTATGCCTTATAAGCCTATCAAGATTTAAGTCATCTGGAAGACTAATTGTCGGCAGCTAAGTCCAAGATGGTAGTTTCTTGGCCACACTCTAGTGGCAGCCAACTACTTTTGAAGCATAACTCCGTAAGTAAAATATCAATTCCGTTTGCTCTTCTTATTTCACACCCGCGGTAACGCAACAAACGCATTCGAAAACATTCACCGTATGTTGCGATAATTGAATACAGTGTTTTTCAAAGCCATTCTCAGAGCCATTCAGTATGGCCTCCTCATCTCATGTCAGTCGGAAAGATTTTGAGGCAGTTTTCCCGTTACTGGTTGAGGACATCTCCCAAGCTGCCAAACAGTACAATATTCCCACCATTGCCCTGGAGTGGTTCCAAAAGGTAGATTTCTCCCAGCCTAATCGGAAATGTGTGAGATGATAAGTATCGCAGTCGCTCAATGCAAACGCCACTGGAGGAAAGCTAAATCGGGGCCTCTCCGTTCCCGACACGGTCTACCACCTGCTCCAAAGAGACTTGAAGCCAGAGGAGTTTAGACTGTCCTCCACGCTTGGATGGCTCACCGAATTTCTGCAAGCTTTCTTTCTCGTCAGTGACGATATCATGGATTCCAGCATCACCAGGCGAGGACAGCCATGCTGGTACCGGCAGCCGGGGGTTGGGATGACTGCCATCAACGATGCATTCCTGCTGGAATCCTCCATCTATCTGCTCCTTAAGAAGCATTTCAGGTCACATCCCGCATATGTCGACTTTCTCGAACTCTTCCACGAAGTGGCCTTTCAGACAGAACTTGGACAGTTGTGTGATTTGATTACCGCACCCGAAGACCATGTGGATCTCAACAATTTCAGTATGGACAAGTACACGTTCATCGTCATCTACAAGACCGCCTACTACTCCTTCTACCTACCGGTTGGACTTGCGCTACACTATTTGCAACTGGCTAGCGCTTACAATTTGAAACAAGCCCACGATATTCTCATTCCGTTGGGTGAGTACTTCCAAGTTCAGGATGACTATCTCGATGCTTTTGGGGAACCGTCGGTTATTGGCAAGATCGGAACAGATATCAAAGACAACAAATGCTCGTGGTTGATAAATCAAGCTTTATTGAAAGCAACGCCGGAGCAAAGGCAGCTGCTGCACGAAAACTATGGGCGGAAGGACGATGTAAGAGAAGCTCGGGTGAAGAGGTTGTTCGACGAGTTACAACTGCAGAAAGTATATCAGGAATACGAGGAGAAGCGGGTGCGCGAGCTACGGCAGATGATCAATGAGGTGGATGAAAGTGAAGGGTTGAAAAAGGAGCTTTTTGAGACATTCCTGCGAAAGATCGAGAAGCGGACAAAATGAGCGCCTTTGCTGGGAGAAAAAAGACGTGTCGATCTAAGGTGCCCTGGCGACTCTCGGTTGCATGTTCTGGTAGCTATACGAGGTTCCGCGGCACCTTGATAGATGGCTGTGTCGGTAAGAGTATGTTGTCCTGTGTGATATCCGGCCACAGACGGGGTTGGCTCTGAAAGTGTCGCGTATGGGAACACACGATCCGTAGATGGCGGGGTATGTTTATGGAGTACTTCCTACCAATGGTCATTCTGCAGCTCTTGAGACGCTATTTAATCGTTAGGCCGGTCAATCTCTTCTAGCTATGGATTCTGTAACGTCTTGGACGAAGCTTCCCGAAATGACTAACCAGTAAAAAGCTTTAATTTTGCGTCTGGGCTTTGCGTCTGGGCAACACGAGGCGTACCTCTACTTACGATCGCTGGTTTTAGCTTCTATCAAAACGAGCCGTAGCTGGCAGAGGTGTCCTGCTCCTACGCAGTAAGTCGTAGTGACAGGTTGAAAATAGACCTCTGGTTGAGAATAAGGTGCTCATTACAAGTACTATGTGGGGTCGGGGTACTGTACTTCGTGCTGCGAGTGCCTCATACCGGGCAGGGCTGGTGGCGCGAGCCCCCCAAAGATGTCCGTCATTCCAGCGGCTCCCATGTTTCACCCAGGGGAATACCAACAACACTGCCTCATAACTAACTAGTCTCAATTTCTCAAACATGGTCCGCGGATCCATTCAGGCGGCGCGACCAGGAGACGATGCATTGAGAACTCTTCTGTGAGGACAGCACAGCCGAGCCTTGGGGAGGCTATGTGGATATATGGGAAATTTAGACGAGGAGAACTTGGTGATGGTCTTCGATGCCCTCATTGTGCATGTTTCGTAGTTGCTAGCAGGGATCCAACTGCTGCCGAAGTGCGCATTATTATTTGCTTATTTCCAGCACGCATTTAGTTAGGAGACCTAAGGTACATAGCAGGGTGCTCACTCCCAGCCTTCGGTCCTCTCCAATTCAGAATCCGTATCACAAGCTCCCTCCTCCACTCTCATATTATAGGAAGCTGTCACTGTCTACCTTGTGCCTGCGACGATTCTCCCATCTTACCCTTGTATTTGATCAACCACCTATCCACGTCGAAATCCGGGGGCCCTTGTGTGGGGAAGCTCAAACGATCCACCCCACTTTACAACAGCCATTGCTCTCGCTTCGCTTCTCTCTCTATCTCAACCTCTGGCCATTGAAATTGACACACACGCTCTCCAGCTATGGACGCCCCAGCTATGGACGCCCCAGCTATGGACGCCGTAAGCTCTACCAAGCGAGACATTAAGAACCATTTTCTTTTCGAAATTGCGACAGAAGTCGCCAATCGAGGCAAGCAAGATTCCAGCTTGTGTGCGGTACCAGTACTGACTCTTTTCTACAGTGGGGGGGATCTATTCAGTCCTCAAGTCCAAAGCTCCTGTGACCACCGCCGAATATGGAGAACGATACTGTCTTATTGGTCCTCTGAACCGCGCATCGGTAAGCTTGCAGCACATCTCAAGCCACCATTGAACCACTATCCCTGACCCTTTCCAAAGGCCGCCGTGGAAGTCGAGCCCCTAGAGCCTTCCTACCCACCTCTGAAGGATACAATCACCGCCATGGGAGAGCGTGGGATCAGCTTGCTATACGGCCGCTGGCTAATCGAGGGTGCTCCGAGAGTGCTTCTAATTGATACATCAACCGGTTACCGCTGGCTAGATGAGTGGAAGGGTGACCTGTGGTCTGCCGCCGGTATTCCGTCACCTGCCGGAGACAGCGAAACGAATGAGGCTATTGTGTTTGGTTACCTTGTGGCATGGTTTCTTGGCGAGGTAAGCCGCCAATTATCTTCCAAGAAGACCATAAATTGACGAGGCTAGTTCATTGCCAAAGAGCAATCCAGGGCGGTGATCGCGCATTTCCACGAATGGCTTGCCGGCGTGGCCATCCCTTTGACCAAGAAGCGACATATGGATGTCACCACCATCTTCACCACCCACGCGACTCTACTGGGTCGATATCTATGCGCCGGCTCCGTGGACTTCTACAACAATCTCCAGTACTTTGACGTGGATGCGGAGGCCGGAAAACGTGGCATTTACCATAGATACTGTATCGAACGTGCCGCAGCTCATTCGTGCGACGTTTTTACAACCGTGTCCCATATTACGGCATACGAAAGCGAACATCTTCTCAAACGCAAACCGGACGGCGTATTGCCGAATGGTCTTAACGTCAAGAAGTTTTCGGCAATGCACGAATTCCAGAATCTACATCAGCAGGCGAAGGAACGAATTAACGACTTTGTCCGAGGTCATTTCTACGGACATAATGACTTCGAGCCTGAAAACACCCTCTACTTCTTCACGGCTGGAAGGTATGAATACCGCAACAAGGGGGTTGACATGTTCATCGAATCCTTGGCGCGCCTGAACCATCGTATGAAGGTTTCTGGTTCGAAAATGACAGTCGTTGCCTTTATCATTATGCCAGCGCAGACAACATCATTGACGGTGGAAGCTCTACGTGGCCAAGCTGTTGTCAAGTCGCTCAACGACACAGTTGGCGTGATTGAGCGTGCAATCGGCAGGAGACTATTCGAGCGATCGGTGCACTGGAAGGAAGGTGACCCCATGCCGGATGAAAAGGAACTTATCACCAGTCAAGATCGGGTCATGATTCGTCGGCGTCTCTTCGCGATGAAACGAAGTGCGCTCCCTCCGATCGTCACCCACAACATGGTCAACGACTCGGAAGATCCAATTCTGAACCAAATCCGCCGTGTCCAGCTTTTCAATCATCCCTCCGACCGTGTCAAGATTATTTTTCATCCAGAGTTTCTGAACTCGGCCAATCCAGTCCTACCCCTCGATTATGATGACTTTGTCCGGGGAACCCATCTTGGTGTCTTCTCTTCATATTACGAGCCATGGGGTTATACGCCGGCAGAGTGCACTGTGATGGGTGTCCCTTCAATCACTACCAATCTGTCAGGCTTTGGCTGTTACATGGAAGACTTGATTGAGAACTCGTCGGACTATGGCATCTACATTGTTGACCGAAGGATGAAGGGTGTGGACGATTCCGTCAACCAGCTTACAAATTACATGTTCGACTTCACCGGCAAGAGCAAGAGACAGCGGATCAACCAGCGGAATAGAACTGAGAGGCTAAGTGATCTCCTTGATTGGAAACGAATGGGCATGGAATACGTCAAAGCCAGACAATTAGCTTTACGGAGAGGTGAGTACTGCCAACTATGGAATATTCAACCATGGCTGATGTACATGCGCAGCATATCCCGACTCCTTCGTAGATGCGGACGACTTCGACGAGATCATTGGCGGCACAGCACAGAGGATATCAAGACCATTATCTGTGCCAGGTTCACCGCGGGACCGCTCCGGCATGATGACGCCTGGAGATTTTGCGTCTCTGCAAGAAGGTCGAGAAGGTCTCAGCACAGAGGATTACATATCATGGAAACTTCCGTAAGTTCTCTTCCTAAGCGCCCAAGCTTGGCGCTGTTGCTGACCGAAACGTTGCAGTGAGGAAGAAGACACCGAGGACTATCCCTTCCCACTAACGCTGAAGTCGAAGAAAGATTCTGGCTCTACCTCGCCTGTCACTCCTGCCACCCCTGCCACGAATGGAACATAGGTAATTCGGACGAAGGAAGTTGAGGGGTTGGGGGGAGGTAACGCTGCCTCCCACTACTGTATTATGAGTGCTTGCCAGATCGGCTTAAACCAGATTGCATCGTTCGTCGTCTGTTGTTTGTTTGCTGCCCCCAACGGATTCTACCATGGTTGGCTTTGGAACAGTAGTCCTGGAAGAAGGTGTGTGGCAGGACAGAACAGATAGCGCAATGCACGACCGAGTGACAGAAAGGGACGGTGGACTGCAGAGAGAATCGCATGTACAAGTATTTACGCACAGCCGACAATAGCGTTTCCTCTTGACACCCTGCTCATTCCCCCCTTGAAGGTGTCGGTGGTGATGAATCTCGACTCGAATCGCCTCGGATATTCATCATTCCATCACACAACGCTCACCGAATATGTATTGATTTCCAATTCTGGGGGTTGAGGGACTTATTTCTGGAATCTCGAAGCCGAAGCTGATCTCGAGGGGTTCCATCTCGCTTCCATGCAGCCCCCATACGCGCTCCCCGAGAGACTTCAGTGATAGTAGGCCAGGCCCGATGGATGACATGGATTTGGCCCAAGTTAGGACCAAGAACTCTTCAGCCACCGCATCTGGAAATATATCCTCTCAACGGCCAGGACTATCGCTCGCGCGCATACGTGATTTTCCACGACCAGTTCACGTAATTTAACTTAGTACTAACTTACTTACTGTTTGCAAGCACCCAACATCAGTTTACGGGGGTAATGCGGCAGCAGTGTTTCGGTGTGTAGTGGAGAATTCTAGGGTGATAAATATAGCTAGATAAGTATCAATTTCCATTTTACATTCCCATTCCCATTTCCACTTCCATTTCCATTTCGGCGAATTGACCAGCATTAATACCAACCGTCACGCCTGCGACTCCATCGCTCGTCTGCTCACTGTTCAATCTAGGTAGGGTCTTGCCCGGTCGCTTGTTCGCTAATTAGTTCCGCCTGGTCTGATGCCGGTCGTCGGTTCATCGATTCGAGCCCTTTTCGCTGTCATGTACGTACATGCTGTCCGAAATATCTCTGCGTATTGTGTGCATAAGGTCTTCCTTCCGTAGAAATTTGTTCTGTGAAAAATGGTAGCTGTCATCATCATGTCATCTCAATGCCATCCACCGCAGCAAAGTCAAATCTAAACCCGCCTCCCCACTCCTCCCCGGACTCAATATCATTCGCTCAAGCCTTCCAGATCTTAACCACCTGCTTCACCGTCTTCCGACAGATCGGGCAATTCTCGACCTGTTTCGCGCAGACCACACAAGTGCACACATGCCCACAATCGTAGAACAAAGCATCCACCGCCTCGCCGTAGCAGATCTGACACATCTCTCCTTCCTCGTCCGCGACCTCCCAATACGTGATACCCTTACCCCACTGCTTCCCCTCCTGGAAACCCCCAACGTATTTGTTTCCCGTCCGCTTTTCGACAAACACGCCCTGACCGTGTTTCTCGTCGTTGGACCATCCGCCCGCGTACGTGTCGCCGTTGGAGTAGGTGCAGGTTCCCTCAGGATGGTCCTTGCTGGTGGAGCGGGAGCCGGCGAGGAAGGGGCCCGTGTAAGAGTGGCCGGTGGGCGTGATGTGGGTGCCGAGGCCGGAGTAGAGGCCCTTGAGGAGGTGGCCAGAATAGTAGTCTAGGCCGAAGGAGGACACGGTGATGTGGCCAGTGTGGGCTTTGACGGGGTGGTTGCGGGCGGAGAACCAGAGGTAGTGAGAGAGTGGTTCGGGAGTGGTAAAGGATGACATGGCGGTTAAAGAGGATTTGCTGGAGAGAGACATCAGTGTGACTGGTCAAAATGGGAAGAAGGAGAGGGTTTAGAGCATACGCAGAGTCAGAGAGGACATCCCCAACCACCAGGATGGAACCGTCATGTCGGTAGCCGCTGTCATCTCTAATGTCCTCGAATGTGGAGTTGGGTTGGATGGATGTGAGACGATAAGCGTTCCCGCGTCGCCATACCAGGAAATTCTTGTCCGGAGCGTAGCCAAGCTGTTTCCGGACAAAATCTTTGACGTTGTCGGTTGCCTGACTAAGGAAATCCCCGTGCATGATGAAGTTCTGGCCGTCAGCATCGAAGAGTTGGATGAAACCATAGTAGAATGGTACTGGTCGGATGGTTATGACCTCCTCATCTTCACTTGAATCGCTTTGGGCATCGTCGTTGGAGGTATCCGCCGGAGCAGGTGGAGCAGGTACTTCGGTACTGTCAAGTGCTGGCTGCTCTGCCACTGGTACCTCGGTGGCAGGTGCTTCCTGGGGCTCAATGGGAGCACTGGTCGTGTTGGCAGTAGGCGGAACATTCATGGCATCAGCGGGGATGCTATGTGGCTGAGTATCGCCTTGCCTGTTGTCCTCGACGGTAACATCTAAGCCTGGAAGATCTTGGCCACTCGTTGCTGCTATTAGAGATCCGTCCTCAGCTGAGGCTATAGCTGGTGGCAAAGCGCCAGCGGAGGTGTCAGCAGCCGACTCGTGAGCCTGAACAGGAGAAGCAGGAGGAGATCGGGCCTGCGTCTCGTTGGCCTGCTCTGTATGTGCCTGCACCATGTCCAGAACCTCGGCGGAGCCCGTGATAGCAGTGGCCTCGAGACTTGCTGCAGGGGTTGCGGTAGACGTCTCTGCTGTGGTGACCATGTCTGTGACCTCTTCTGTACTGTTTGCTGCGTTAGGCGCATCTTCCGCTGTGTCAGCGGATTGTGTCGTGCTATTGGTACCTGACTGCGCGTTCCCCGTGGAATCGTCTGCTGCCGGGATCATACCTTCCGCGGGTGAAGAGTCCGACTCTGGTGGTTCCATCATTTCAACGGCCCCATGCTCTGTGTCATCCCCTTCGCGCGCCGTTTCTGGGGCAGACCCAGCCCGCTCTGGGTCATCTAGCTCCATGGCTGTCCTCTCAAAGACATCGTGGTCAAGGGGTGGCTCTGGATCCCCGAAAGATTTGACTTCTTCATCCGTCTTCAGCACGTGCATCCATATGCAAAGGGATCGAGTCGCACAGTCCCTGTCCCAAACTGTCTTGTAAAGTCTACTGATTCGTTTAAAAGAATAGTTTAGAGGCGCCCCTGGTGATGGAGGTTGCATAGACCACAACTTGATTTTCTCAACATTGTCAATGTCATTCCACTTTGCAAGCTTGTGGCGCAGTTCCTGATAGGTGGTCTCCGAGGGCACGGTAAGATACTGCGGTGGACCATTGCTGTCCCCTTCCTGCGCGGCTTTCAAATCTTGAGCATCAATCAACCCATGTCGGTTCCGAACTCTTTGGGAAGCGTAGATTTCGAGCTGGACTTCTGATTTGGTTTCTTCTTCGTAAGGCTCTACGTCTTTGCTATCCACGTAGTCACGCACCTGAGGACAATTTTTCAACCAAAGTGACAGCTCATAGGGTTCCAGTCGTCCAGGTAAGAAATCATGGAGAAGATCAGTTCTGATATACATTGCAATATATGCTGTGTGGCGCGGTGCTTTGTTTTCTCTGAGCGCATCCCCTTCAAGACCTTCAAACTCCTGAACTCTGTGCTTGGTATAAGAAATAACCTGATTCGCCGTGCCATCTTCAAAAGCAAGCCATTTAGTGCCAGGACCATCTGGTCGGAGTATACTGTAGAATTTACCAGAATTCCTCTCCTCGGCATGTACAATGAAACCATAGAGAGTGTATTTCGATGTCTCGGGTTCGGCAGACCATTGGGATAGATCAAGCTCTTCATCCAGTCGTACTCGGTCATACAGTAGCTTCCATTCCCGGACAGTGGTGTCGAACTTTTGCCGTTCAAGTTCGATAGTAAGAAACTTTGGAAAGCACTGTTTACCTGTGGATAGCCCAAAGGTTCGTTCCAGGCCGGTTTGAACGCTGGGAACATTTTCAACAGGAATGCGGAATGGTGATGTGCGCGTGGGCTTGTCCCCACCGCTGGCTTTACCATCAAAGATATCAGCAATCCGCTCAAGGGCATTGGGATCGGTCTGAAGTTCAAGCTCAAGCGACCTCCGAAAACCTTCCCAGAACGTGACAACATCAGTTCCGGACTCGTCAAGCTTGTCCATAATCTCGATGACCGCTTCGAGTGACACGAACTTCTCATCCTTTTTCTGCTTCCGCATGAGATAGAGCACCATCTGCAGTTGGGAACAGAGTGACTGAGGTCGGACGTGGGAATCTCTCCGGTAGGCGTCTGTCTCTAAGTCCTGAAATATCTTCCTGAATGGTGCGAGTAACAGCCAAGATGTGATCCCGGCGACTGCTGGAGTGTGGTATAGTTTGGTCCCCATTGCTGGGTAGCCGGTAAGAGAAACCGAATCCCATTGCTCTTCAGCGCCGCAGTGGTGCCACCATAACGCTTGAGAAGGATCATTGAAGATCCGAATGTACGCATCTAGAGCGAGTGTGTCATTTCGGAGAAGAGCCTGTCGCTGTCCAGGCCTGCGCTTGTGGATTTCTGACCAAGGGCCATGAAAGTTTGTCCACCCCCAATCGTCATTGTGCTTGTTGAACTGGTGACACGCAGCCATGTCATACTTGGTTCGGGGCTCTTCTGGATTGTAGATAATGATACCGATCTGAGCAGAAACCCGCCAATCCTCGGCATCTTCTTCTTGGTCTTCCGCGGCTGCCGAGCTTTCTTCTACGTCTGCTGAGGCATTTGCAGATTCGTCGTGCTGCAGAGCCTCGCTCTCGGAAGGCTTCTTTGAGGCCTCGTCGGAGCCTGACTCGTCCTGTGTCACTTTCATTTCCGCCTCTAGAGAAACACTGGTGGCAGGAATGGACATGTCCACCGCGGGCTTCAGTTCACCAAGATCGGCATCTGGGGCTCCATATACCACCGAAAAAGTGTTTTCAGGGACTTCTTCGTCTGGTTTCGGTTCTCTTCTCGAGCACCTGACATATGCGCTCAAGGCAGATGAATTGTTCCCTCGTGGAAAGAATTTGAGATACCAGTAGAAGCCTCCCACGAGCACAGCCGGTGAATTCATAATCCGTGCCCGGTTGGGTTTCTCTTTGGTTCCCCGAACACCTTTGATGACCCAGGTGAGGCGCATCTTCTGTGATGGTTGTTGTTCTGGGTCTTCTGGCGCCTCGGCGTAAAACGATTCCTCATGATACTTGACGTCCCTGGCGCTGATGTCGTTCGACGCTTCAATCTCTTTTAGTTCTTCCTCATTGGGAGCAGATGTGTCTTCTTCTATGTCGACCCACTCTGGTGACTCGTCTGTTGAGTCTGTAGGTGAGGGAAAAGGAGGGGTTTCATCGACGGCTACGGGACGAGGCGGGTCGATTGGGGCATCGGCAGGGGGCACCACTTCTTCAAGCTGTAGCGGCTCCTCAGTCATAGTTTCCCCAGCGGCTGGTTGGGCGGAATATTCGTCAGGTGCACTACTTTCGGCTTCAGTAGTGTTTCCAGAGGATGCTTCCAGGAGTATTGGCTGCTCTGGTATTGTCGTAGCATCTGTGGTTGGGGTATCTTGCGAAGTAGTCGATGTGCTGTGGGACTCTGTTGAAGTGATTTCCACCTCTGCCTGTCCACTTGTTGCTTCTGGGTCATTATCCGGGCCATCCAGCACTTGGGCTGGTCGTGCTCTGAATTCTGCATCTCGCTCCTGAGCTTCCAGCAGCTGGGCACGCACCTGAGAGAGCTGCTCACGTTCTCGAGCAAGCTCGTCGCGTATTCGAGCCAGCTCGTTCCGTGCGCTCTCTAAATCAAGATCATTGAGTTCGGCGGTGGTCTCAGTCGAAGGTGGGGTTAGAAGGGCGGATAAGGCGGAGGTAGCCTCAGGCATTATGGGCGATTCAGGAGCTGTGATTGGGGAAGAGCGCTCGGTAGATGACATGTTCTCGGCGGGTGGAGGGAGGGTAGAATTATCTGGCTGTGGAACGGTCGGTGATACGAGAGTGAACGGAGTTGAACGCGGAGAAAAGGTGAGGGTGGGAGAGCGTTGAACATTGACCGGTGAGCTCAGCGCAATATCCATATCTTGTCACGCATGGAGGGAATGGTATCGGGGACTTTGGGGATTTTGGAAATCGAGCAAAAGATGGAGATATATGTTGAGGAAGACGGGGCGAAAGCGGTGAGGCTCTACCAGCCTTCAGATAGCCCAAGAAGTGACTTTTGGGGGCGGTAAGATGGAGATAAGATTTCGCAGTCTTGTGAAGGTCGTTGCAGCAGATCTGACCGAGACAGCTGTACTGTAGTGCGAGTAGTGAACTGGGCAAATTGGTAGATTAGACACAGTTTGATGCAGTGTCTGCCTTTATCTAGCAAGGCAGGTTGGCAGGCAGACAAAATGAAGATCAATCGCAAGTGGAACAAGTCAGAAAAATTGGAGATGGCATTTGGAGCTGGGAATGAAATAGGCGGCAGCGCCCTTGTTTCTTTTCACGCCATACAGTCTTACTCCGGCTACGGAGGATTAGGCTGCGGCAGCTTAGTGCTTAGTAGCTAGTGGGCACTTATGCACAGGGTTTGGCCATGATTGATAGAGGCAGGGTGCCTGGAAGCCGGGGGGTCTCTCATTGGACAAGTCTTCGGGGACTGGAGTCAGCATAAAGATAAAGCGTGTCACTCATTCAGCATGTCGTTTCACGGATCATGACTCTATGCTCTCTCTGTAAGCTTACTCCAAATGGGCAGAACAACGGAACGTGGCAGTAGTTGTTGGTCGTAATATATGCCGTGCCCAGTGCTACTGAGTATGTGGCTTCGAATTAGTACGTAGTATGATTGATCTTACCGCGATGTCCCGTGAAAGAGGAAGTGGCCCGTCTCACCACCATCAACCAGCCTCACCGACCAAACGATGATCATGTTGCTGTCCAGGTCCTGGCCACTGAGGCCGGACTTCCCACCCTTCTCGGAGCCTAGAACCCCTGGCTGCTTCCAAATGAGGCTGAGTCACCATTGAAGCAACGCCACACATCCCCGTTGGTCCAGGATTGGACTGCAATGTGATGTAGGGTTGGCATTCAGCCCTCAGGAACCCGCTGCTTTCGCTCTCTTGGATCGTGATCATTGAAGGCACGACTGTAGACTGTAGACTGCTGATGCGAAGACATGAAAGCACTGGGTGTCTGCCATCGAATCTTGATCAAAAAGAAGCTTGCTTCATTTTTTGCACCAAAACTAAGTTAGATTTTTTACCTCTGGTCAGTGCTAGGCATCAAGGCTCGTATTACACATCCACTGCCCAATCATCCTAACTACTATGGTAGGGACCAATGGACCTCCAGACCATGTGCGCTTAACGCTTAACGAGCAAGTGCATGGACTGGCCCACCCTGACTCAATCTTGTCGCGTTCGCTAGTTAATAGCAAACATTTCGGCGCTGTGCATGTCCAGCTCGACGCCTGTTTCGACTGTGCGGGTGTGGCAATGGTGATGATATGTTACAGATCACCCGGCCACATCATCATCAGCTGCAAGCTAAAGTGGAAAGTCTATGCCCACGGTTTGTTGAACTTGCAAAGTTGTTCAGCCAGATGAATGTCCACAGTCACCCCAAGTGCTGGTTCGCGTAACAGGTTTTGCAATGGCGTAGGGCGATTTGCGAGCCGTGGTGATACAGTACTCTAGTTGCTCGTGTTCGCAACCGAGGCAACAAAGGATAACGAAGGACTTTCTTGCCGAGAAAAGCTGTAGTCGTCACTACCATGATTCTTCCGCTCAAGATGGCCGTGGACTAGCGATCAATAAGCCGCCGTGGGAGTCTCTCGCCGTGCAAAGGTAGCTGCAACAATCATTGGAAAGACTACAGTCGCTTCGGCATATACCTTGACCAGGTCAGTCCCTCGCAGTGGTTCAGCAGCGACTTCATCATACCTTGACGCTTTGTGCATCTGCCTTAATTTTCCCCCAGCTCACAGCTTCGTCTGGCCTGGCTCCAGCATCACTTCCATCAAACTCCTGGGCTGTGTTGATGTACACCGCGCTCTCAGCTCCATTTCGCATCAGACACGCGTTGGCGATGTGATGCTTAACGACCCCACCACCGAGAATGATCATTCCAGCGCGTTTCGCTCGCACCGCGATGGTGTTGATCCGCCGAATATCCTCAACAATGTCTATCCGAAGCTGTTGCGGCGAGGCCTTGAATGTATGGAAATACAGCATATCTCCCAGACTGCCATCAGTCATGGCTGGGCAGAATATGGGAATGTCATGCTGGTAAGCCCAATAGCAAACAGAAGAGTCGTCATTGATTTCCATACCTAGCCGTCTGATCACCTTGCTGGGCGTCCAGAAAATGGGGTCATTGGTGGGTTTAGAAGCTTCTTGTTCTTCAAGCATTTTGTCAAGAATCGGAACAACCCAGTCCTCGAAAGCGCAGTAATTACTATTGGGCACGATCAGGTTCCCAATACGATTCAGTCCCTGTGCACGTAGTGATGGTCCTGGCGTAGAGAAGGAACCGAGATAAGTCGGTGCCAGGCACTTGATGAGGTCCTCTTCCACCCCTCCCGCGGTAGTGACGATCGCTGAGACATGTTTGTGTTGGATGAGGTAGCGGATGGTCTCTCGAAGGCCAGATGATATCAGATTCGACGTGTATCCCAAGAAGATGGTGCATCGTTCGCCAGTATCATTGTCCCTCCATGCCCTCTGTAAGGACAATTAGAATTTCCGTTGTAAGCTACCGGGCCGGATCACAAGTGACGACGGACCATCTCATTGATAATTCGAACTGCGTCACCCACTGCGCTTGCCTGGAAGCCCATACTAGACATGCCTTCCACTAGATCAACAACCGATATGCCATTCTCCTTATGCCGATCAAAATCGATTCCTTGGACCGGTATTGCCCCTTTTGGAAGCGGATCAGAAGTCACAAAGACAGCATCTTTAGCATCCGCAGGCGCAGAATTGCCGGATTCTTTAGGCCGAGTGCCAGCCATTCTTTGCTTCTACTCAGAGCTAGCCGTGCATATGCACCGCAGCGTGGTTGCAACAGTGAGCCTGTAAGGACTTCTGACGAACAGAGCGACACAAGTTGATGCCTAGAGACTCGATTACGGACACAAGACGTTCACTTATTGCTGATGCGATGCTTTGTGGTTGGGAGAGCCTTCATGGATCTTTGGTAATAGAATGAACTTCGGTAAAGGATCAACGCTGATGAAGCGACCACCATTAGGTAACTTACCCAGAACCCAAGTACCACATTACGCACACTATGTAGGCGCCAAAGAAAATGGATGCGCTAGAAGCCCGCTAGTTCGGTCAAAGGGCAGTGACTGCTCCTCGAGTACCTAGTCATAACCAACCTACTGCAGCACTGACTGTATGCTAGGATCCCATTGGCCAGCCGGGGCTTATAGTGGGTCCTAGAGGCAATCGAGCCGATCTTGTACGTGGTTCGCTACATGCTACTAGTACGTACTACGCACTACTAATCGAGTACTAGCTTACTACCATGTTCGTTTACCCCTTCCACCTCCACTCTCCACCCTAAGTTACTTCTGTCCTCCAACCTAGATTGATCTCTGCTTTTCATCCCAACGTCGAAAAGCAGGAAACCCTCCATCAGTGCTTTGTCGGTCGTATTACTGTCCGCCATACATTGTACGCCATACATTTTACACCATACATACATACAAACAAACAGACAGACACTGTCTGCAATCAACACCCCCAGATGGACTGAACTTGGTGTGCCACCTGGCGCATTTTCGCATGAACCCATCTGACAGAAATTTGGACTTCAGCCTCATTCCGCAGCCATCGGCCATTGCCCAACTACAAGGACGTTGGTCGCTTTTCCTGCTCGGCAGGCTTCATGCTGCTTGAGGCATTGTGACGGCCAGTCCATGAAACCTCGCCTCCTACCTGTTGCACCTGGATCTCCATCTCCGTCTTCATTTTCGTTCTTGTTCGCCTAGCCGGCAGGTGGCTGAAGCCCCCCTGGCCAACGGGCTGAAGCGGCTCCGATCTGTGGCTGGTGACTGCCAAGAATTGCTTAACTGTTTCTGGGCATGTCTTTCCATCCACAATTGAAACCTACAGAGTCCGTATCTTCACTATGAGCCGATATACTGGTCCAGCCAGGGATCGTTCCCCTCCACGGTTTTCTGATCGCCGACCTTCCGCACCTCATAACCCTTCTTCCACCTTCTCAGGCTTTAGAGGTGCTTCGGAGACCAGTCAGACTTCTACTCGTGAAATCCCTCGAGGCCCTAAAGCTGATACTTTGCGACATGCTGGCCCTCCAATCCCCCGCGGTAGGGGCGGCTTTGCTGTTCGATCTGACTTCCGAGACCGAGAGGTCGCATCGTCATTTCGTCGAGATAATGACAGGCTGGACTGGTCTAGGAGGGACAGAGAATTTCCCTTTGGAGACAGGGAGTCACTCTCGACACGAGACACCCGGCCACTCCACCCCCGAGATCGATCCATGTCGCCCAATCGCGTAAGGCGGGATCTTAAGGAGACTCCCCCTACCGCACCGAGGATGTCAGATTCTCCTCCCACGTGGCATGGGCCTAGTGCCCGAGGTGCACCTTCACGCGCTCGAGGACGAGGAGATTGGGACCGTGGCCGAGGCCGCTCTTTCCTGGCCGACCGCGATGCATATGGCCCTAGAAGTAGGTCTAGGGAAAGCTGGCGGGATCGTGATCGAGAATGGGATCGTCCCGATCTTGACCACAGAGAACGTTTCGACAGGCGAGATGAGGAAAGATCCCTTGAACGAGATGATCGAGACAGAGAGCCTTTAGGCTGGAGGCACGACCGTTCACCTAGCCGCAATAGTACCGGGACTCAAGCCGCAGGCCCCCCTCGCTTGGTCACTGCCTCGTCCTTGCAGCCATCTCACACAAATATCGCTGAGCCGCCTCGCAGATTCTCTACGGCGCTCACGCCCACTGATTCTGGACGTGATGCTCTGAGGGACGGTGATAAGAGTGGTCATTACTCCACTGGTATTGCTACTGCCATTGATAGTAAACCGCGCCGAGCGATCTCCCCACCCGCTGCCCCGACTGTTCCTGCTTTTGGAGCCTCACTCGAATACGTGAAACCAGTCAAGCCACATCCTGCTGAGATCTCATCAGAAACCGGTTCTTCAGTCAAACCGACCACCATCGGGCAACTAGGCAAACCTGTCGACAAGGTGACAGGGCCTGGTCAGGATACGCCCTTCCACCCTCCCACCGGCCCCAAAGCTGATCGGGCAAACATCACCATGCCGCCATCCTACAAGGAAAAGACTCACGTGCTGGATTTACGGTCAAATCCAGAGATACAACCTCGTCCGATGCGCGCTGCTTCAAGCTTTACATCAGCTGCAATAGCAGGTCCTGCCATTGGCCCAATTCGCAATGACAACTGGGAGTCAATTGCTGGGAGTGCCGTTGAAAGCAAGGCTGTCACGCACAAGCAGCTGTCTCTCAAGCCTGTATCATCATCAACATCATTGACGGCAACTGTGAGGCGGTTGGATCCTGCAACAAACAAAGCTCTGCCACCCAAGACACCCCCTGCCATTCCCACAGGGCCTGCAGCCATGGAGGCTTCCCCTACCGCTCCAAGATCAAACATCCCCACCGGACCTCGAATTCAGCCCAAGCAATACTCTTATCCTTGGAGTGCTCCTGGATACAAGGGTCCTACTGCACCATCACGACCGTCTATCATGAACAGTGCACCTTCGAAGCCTCCTCAAGCTACTCAACGAGAGCGAAATTACGGCCTTCCCGCAGCTCATCGCAACAATGCTGATCCCTTTGTTGGCCAGAATATCAAGCCCAAGGTAGTCAACAAGCATGCAGAACATGATCGGAGCCCGACTCTTCCACGCCAGGACGGGATTGTGCAAACAACGTCTGCTGGAGGAGCCCCTAGCCCCGAGCCTGATATTTGCATGAAGAATGATGCAATCCTACCTCTACCGCTTGGGCCCTCGACTGACGAGGAAGCAGATGATGATGATGATGATGAAGATGATGATGGATTGGACGAGGAAGACTTCGCTGATTCGGAGCAGAAGTTCAAGAAAGAGATGGATCTTCTAATTGCGAGAAGACCGCTTTCGCCGCTTCGTGATCCAATGATTGTAAATTTACTTGTCAAAATCCAATTGCTTGGCATGATAGCAGATGGATCAGCCCCAGTGGGAATAGAGGCCGACGAAGTGATGGAAGATATCGAGACGGAGAAAACCACGAAACCAGTTGGCTTGCCCTCCCCTGCTGTCGAAGAGGGTGGAGAAGAGTCGCCACCACCTGCAGGGCGATTGTTAAAGGAGGTCTCTTATAACCCCATACCCACACCTCCAATCGAGGACCTGCCGTTTCTGTCCGCAGCTGCCCGGCAAGAGCAGTGCACGTTTGACAGTTCAGACGATGATAGCGGCAGGCACGAGCGCATTACAGCTTCGTTACGAGAAGAGCTCTCACTACAGGTTCGCGAGACGGAGCGTCAGCACGAGGTGTTGAAAGCGGAGTTTTCGGAACTCTACAGGGAGTGGAGAAACACAGTGTCTAATATGGATCGGAGGAAACGTGAAGAAGATCCGCTAACTCCTGCTCCAGCATCTCCTCCTTTGTCTCTTGCGCCTACTATCGCTTCCACACCGTTGATTGAAAGGACGCGAGGTGCAAAGAACATCACTGAACTAGACCTCCAGAATATATTGAAAGCATCAGAACAGTCGGCTAGGGAAGAACAAGAGAGGCGAGACAGAGAGCTCACGGCTAGACCGAATTATGATATGGAGGCTGTAATACCAGCAATGTTGACGCGTTACGAAGTAGAGTCATCCTTCTTCGAGGACAGAAATCAGCTTGTTCCAGAGGAGCGTGCTCTTGACGTCTTTGCGTTTGTTCCACCGCAGGATGACTTCACCACTGAGGAACAGAAAACATTCATAACAGCATTCAACCATCATCCGAAGAAGTGGAGTGATATTGCAGAATGTCTTCCGGGCAGGGACTTTCAACAATGCATTCTGCACTATTACTTGACTAAACACACAGCAAAGTACAAAGATCTATGGAGGAAGACTCTGCCGAAGAAAAAGCGTGGCAGGGGACCGGCTGCTGTTCGACCAAGATCCACTGCGCTCATGTCGGACTTGGCTTACGAGAGGGAGGATATTGACAACCCGCCGGCAGCTGTGACAGATACGGGCCGCCCGAGAAGAGCGGCCGCTCCAACATTCGGCGAGACCGCAATTGACTTGGAGAATAATAACACTGTACCTGCCGCTGCGGCTCGCAGGGCTGCAAAGGAGTCGAACGGCGAACCGTCCGCAGAAAAGTCGACTAGCAGAAAGCGAGCCGGACCAAAGGCTCCCAGGAAGACCAAGGTGACTATCGGGCCTGCTGGTGGGCCTTCTCCTCAGAAAGTCGAAAAGGATGTCAAGACTGCCCAGGTGGATGGAAAGGCGGATGCCTCCGTGCCGAGAATGGACGAGTCTTTGATGTCTGATCCACAGAGAGGCATTGCCGCTGAGATGGAAAGGAGTCGGCCGCCAGCACTATCGACCGCAACCACGCTGGATGGCACAACTCCTGGACGGCCTCCTATCACTACGCGCAGCGTTTCCCAGCAGTCATCCAGCTACTGGTCTGTTCCGGAAACAACCTATTTCCCTACTCTCGTGGACTTTTTCGGACGTGACTGGGCTGGAATCTCCAATTTCATGGAGACAAAAACCTCTAACATGGTAAGCGTGTCCTCTCCTTCAGCTTTCCAGACTATTCACGATATGCAGGTCAAGAACTACTTCGCTCGAGAAGTCCTTAATGGAAAGCAATGGTTGGAAGACAAAGCACAGGCTGCCGAAGAGAGGAAGTCGCGTGGCGAACCACCAGGCTTTCAGCTTGAGCCCATTCCACCTCCGAAGCGGAAATATGACACCCCATCTTCTCAACGTTTGCTCATCTCTAGCCTCGAATCTACGGACAGCAAAGCCGATGCCGTCTCGACCAAAGCCAAACCACCCGCAGTAGAAGATTTCTCACCTCCCTTAGCTCTTCGTGGCCCTTCCAGCCATGATCAAACTTCCGCGCCTCGCTTTACACAAGCCGCCCAGCCACGACCCCTATCCGTGGCGAGTTCCCATCAACGCGTTGACGAAAGTTTGGGAGGTCTTCCACATGCCAATGCCCAGCAGTCGAGACCGAGTTACGGGCCCAGGCCTGGCTTCTTCATTGAAGATAGACGAGATGTTAGACAAGCTCAAGCACTTGCGCAACAGCCCTCGCAACCATCGCAACCCTCACAACCATCGCAACCATCGCAACCATCGCAACCCTCCGCAGCCCTCGCAACCCTCGCAGCCCTCGCAACCCTCGCAGCCCTCGCAACCCTCGCAGCCCTCGCAACCCTCGCAGCCCTCGCAACCCTCGCAGCCCTCGCAACCCTCTCAGCCCTTGCAGCCCTTGCAGCACTCGCAAGCAGCGCAGCCCTCGCAGCCCCCGCAGCCCTCTCAGCCCTTGCAGCACTCGCAACCAGCGCAACCAGTGTTGTCCGTTGCGCATACAGACGCCAACCAACTCAATCTGTCCCAACGGAATCCTCCACTGCTCCCTCAGCAGCCAACAAACAACTCCTCCCATTCATTGCAGAATGTTCCGCGACAATATACAGGTGTTTCCAATCCTACCCCTCAGCCTCAATACGCGCAACAGCAGACCAAAACTCAGTTACCTGATACATCCCAGTTGAGCCAGAGTCGCCATGGCACATCAACCATACCCGTGTCGCCTCTGCAAGTAATGCTGCTGAAGCAGGAGCCAGACCTCCCATATCAACGGCGTGAGCCTCAGGACCAAGCGGTTTCTTATGCAAAATCATCAGCGCGTTCTCCCATTGATACGAGATTTCCCAACCTTTTCACCATACCTCAAGAGCCTGTTCGTCCTCGTTCCACTCCAGCTCAACCAGCTGCTGAACCTCCCAAGGCTACTCCGGCAAAGCGTTCGAATATTATGAGCATTCTCAATGATGAGCCAGCGGAGCCAGCGCCACGTAAGCGACCTGTGGTGGATGTCGTTTCCAATATTCCGTCTTTCCAACCCCCTATGCCCACCAACTATGTGAGCCAACCACGACCTGAGCAGCCAGTCTCGACCCCACGCGAAGATTTCTCAAGTCTCTTGCAAAGCCAGCAGACACGTTCTCCGTTTCTCCAGCTCTCAAATCAGATGCATATCCAGGCGGACACCAATCCCCCTTCAAGTCTTCCTCAACATCAAGATGCTACTGTTAACCAGTCCATAGGTCCTTCCACTGGTGGTCCCACTCCGTCGGCCCAGCAGTGGATTCAGCGGTTGGATCCTCGTCAGTCAAGCTCGAGCACAGGTCCGGATCCGAATGCAAGGGCGCAGCAGCCATCGGCAATTCCACCATACGCCCCCGTTCCTTCAAGTTCAGCGAGTCAAGCCAGGGATCTCC